AGGGATATCACATGAGTAGCAGTGTACTGAGTTCAACAGATTTGACTGAAACTGCTCAACTAATAAAAAAGACAATTACTAAAAAAAATCCTTTTGTTTTTGTAACCGTTACATACAAAGTCCCATTTGACATTCAGCTTGATGGTTTTGGACAAATTATAACTCAAACATTCATGAAGCAATCTTTCAGTTCTTTGTATAATTTAAAAGTCGATATAATCAGAATGTGTCAGGATCCAGCCCTTACAGCCCTGTCACTCCTGTCTGAGTTCAATGTCTCTGTTTGTTTTATGTAAAAGCACATGGTTGTCACTTTTGTTGTGTTGGTCATGTGCTCCCCTTGTCCTGCCTCCTTGTTTTCCTATGCCTCGCCCTGTTGTTTAGTCCTTGTTTGTCTAATAATGTTCACCTGTTCCTCGTGCTCTCTACTCTTTATATATTGAGTTCATTTTCCACTTGTCTTTGCTGGTTCTTCATACTATCTTTTGTGTGCATGTCTAGCTTATCTTGTGTAGTGCATGATAGAGATTTTTTTTTCCCCATATAGTGTCGTTGTCATGTTCACCAGCGAACAACCACCAGATGTCGCTGGTAAACACACACACTTAGAACTACACTTTTCCTGGACTACATTTTCATACATGCACTTCTCCCTGACACCCATGCTCATTCACCTAACTTGATTGCATTCACCACCTGAACCTTGTCATAGACTGAACTCTTACAGCTGTAACCACCCACACAATGATTATTTAGACTATTTAAACCCCTCTTTTCCACACACATGTTGCCGAGTCTTGTTCACTGTAAAGTAGCATCACAACGCGTTTTCCTTGTCTTGTTTTCCTGTGTTTTGAACCTAGCCTTGTTTATTTAGTTGTCCTTGTCTGCCACCTGCCTTTTGACCTCTTGCTTGTTAAATTGACTACGATTCTGGATTGTCCTCACACACCTGTTTGCTCCCGTATTGACCACTGCTTGCCTGACTGTGAATAAACCTGCATATTGGATCCTACCTTCTATTGTGGTGTTACTCCCCGGCGTTACAGAAGTTGTCTTTTTATCTTTATCTTGAATTAATTTATTCATTTGATTCGGTTTATTTATTTATTTACTTCTTTCAGCAAGGTTGCTGTCATTTTCAATTTTATTTCTGTTTGAAGCTCAAGACTAATTTCAAGTTTTCATTTTGCCATTTCTGTGATCCTTAGGCCCAGTCTAGCCCTAGTCTTTTGTTAGTTCTTTATTTTTAATTTCTGTTCCTGTGTTTTGCTTTCTGTTTTATTTCTAGGTATAGCTTATTTGTCTAAGCCTTTTGTTTAAGTTTCAGTATTTGTTTCATTTTATTTTTTGAGCTCTACTTTTCCCCCTCCTAAATATTTCTTTCTTTATTTTTAAAATTCTTGTTTCTCCAGCCGTCTAGTCCTGTTGTGTTGCTTGTGTCACTTGCCTCCTGAGTCGTCACTGGTTGTGGATCCCCTTTCCTTGATGATCCATCTGTTTGCCCTCCCTATCCCTAACAAGAGATTCGGCTAGCTACCGATTGACTGCTTGGCCTTAAGTTTGGAATTCCCCTTTCCTGACCAGCTTGTGTTACCCCCTTAAGACACTCCCCTCTGTATTATCATAAAGTCCTGAGTCTCCTCCCCTCACCAGCCTGTTCTCCTGCCATCACCCTGCACTATTGACTGTCCTTCTGTGTTGCCCTGTTTACCTCCTGTAAATAAACCTTGTGTTCTCCTGTCAATTCTGCGTTTGGGTCCTCCTTGCCAGCCGTGACAAGTATGATATTGAAAAAGATCTTTATTTAACAAAGTATATTTTTACACCTCAGTTAAAAAAAAAAAAAAAACACAAATGTTTGTTTTATATATTTTTAACAGAATATTACAAAGTGGATCCTGTTGTCTTCAGAGGTAAAGATAAGGGGATTATATGATCAATGAGCTTAGTCTAGTGATGTTTGTAAAAACAAAGACTATTTCATTAAACTACAACCCATTACATATTTATTAGAAATATATTAAAACATTTTAAATGGATTTTTCTAAGTCTCTTGGCTATATATTCTACTTATGTTTAAAGGGAGTATTCTTTAATTAATATTAATAACTTTTTATATGCAGAAGTGATGGTTTTAAGAAATTATAAATTTAAGTAGTAAGAGAAAAATCCTTCAGATTTTTTTAAATTAGGACAAATTTTAAATTTAAATAAGATATCAGTATGTTGGCAAGATCAAGCCAACTTAAAATGCAATCTTTATCAAACTCAAATTTTGTTCTTTTTCCTGAAAAGCTCAGGTTTTTTACTTAATTTATCAGAGGCACTCTCCTGTACTGGCACTTAGCAATTAGCTAGGACATAAAGAAATATTAACATCTGCACTACATCTTAAAAAGATTTGATTTTTAAAAGTATTAGGGCTCTATTTTGACGGTCCATGCACAGAGCGCAAAACGCAGGGGGCAAACGCTTTCAGGGCGTGTCAGAACGCATTTTTGCTAATTTACGGATGGGAAAATGCGCTTTGCGCCAAGGCGTATGATCTAAAAGGGTTGAGTTTCTTTTCTTAATGAGTTATAGGTGTGTTTTAAGAATAAACCAATTAGAGTCTCGTCTCCCATTCCCTTTAAGACCCAGCTGCGTCGCGCCAAGAGCGCATTCGCTCTTTACAGGATGCAAAGTAAGTCTAAGTGGAAAAAATGAGCATTTTACAAGCAAACAGTTAAAAGTTTTTAACAGAAAACTGTTAAACAGAGCATCTACTGCGTGAGAATGAGAAATAAATGATCTACTTTCACTTTCGCTCTTGGATAGGGAAACCTTTATGCACAGACATCAATTAGCCTTTAAATAATTAATTTTGTTTGTTAAGATTTGTTTTAAAACTATTTCTAAATTCAGTTCTAATTTCTAGCAAACAAATAAATGAACAATAATGACCAAGTGTGGTCAAAATACTGAGTTATTTCCAAATACACCTGCCATGCCCCATATGGTCTAAAATCTGACAGGTGGGCAAATCTAAGCTTGTTTTTAATAAAACAAATATAAATATGGATATAATAAATAATACTGCTAATAATAATAACATTATACAAAAGCAAATTGTTATGAATGAACTGAAAAAGCCTCCCGAGATGAAGAAGACATAAAAGCAGTGGTTTTTCATATTTATGTAGGCTAGAAAATAATATGTTTTGTAATATTTTAATCCTTTATATTTATATCCTATATCAATTCTTTTTATATCCTATTTATATCCTTAATATTTAAATTTTTTTCATATGTAAAGATATTTGCCTATTGCTCTCATGTGCGTATTAAGCAGTGTGTAAGCGAGGCGCAATAGTCTTTTGGTACTTTCATATAGCAAATGCATTAGCGCTCATTTGTGCGCCCATAGGCGTTCTGGTCTAAAAAGGAAGGCGTTCTGAAGCGGACCGCTGGCGCGTCGCTATTTTGAGAAACTATATTCATAACAATTTGCTTTTGTATAATGTTATTATTATTAGCAGTATTATTTATTATATCCATATTAATATTTGTTTTATTAAAAACAAGCTTAGATTTGCCCACCTGTCAGGTTTTAGACTGAATACCAAAATATCAGACCATGAGAACTGTTATGGAATTTCATGAGACAAGATGCAATGTTCCAATGCATTTACTTATCTAAGAAGTGATGAAGAAACCAACTGTTCCACTGTTCTATTCAAATCACTGTTGACAATGCAAACACAGGCTGGAAAAACAGAGCTACTCTACAGCAGGGGGTAATGCGAGAAAGTCACCCTTCTCCTTCCACCTAAACCCCCCTTCTTGACCCTTATGTTACCTTCTGATTAGAGCACATTTCACATAAAATGTTCAAGGTTTTAATATGGTGTATCTTGCATCACTATATTCATGTTTGGTACCATTTTAAATGTCTCTGTGTGATTGGTAAAGTGGTCTTAATTTTACAGTAATATTTTATTGGTATATGTTAATTTGGTTTTTGACTATAAGATCTTGATAAGATGCTCTCCCTCCTAAGAGATGGTTAAGTCCTCAAATTCACCAGGCCAGGGTTTCTGTGACACTTCTATTGTCTTGAATTTATGACTGTTTGTTTTGACTTGAGTATATAAGGTAAGATGTGCTTTAGGACGGGGGGAAATTTTGTAAAAAGACACCCCATTGCAGCATCTCTGAGACTTGCAATGTATTTCTCTGGTCAGGTATGCATCTCTAACTCTTTGATTTATCTTTGATTAACGGATGTTGTATTGTTACAGTCTCATCTCTGAATTGGCTTCCAGATGATTTATTATGTAATTGGCAGAATACAATTTTACCTGACAAATAAAATGTTAAGTTTTGATTAATTCTGGAGTTTTGCGATTTCATTGTATCCAGTAGATTAGATGAGTCTTCATTACTTTTATTGTATGGCATAATTGAATTGATTAATAGGCGCAGTTGATTATTGTTAGCCATAGCGTGCCGATAACATGTAGACCTTTTAATCATTTAACCACTGGAAGTAGCAAGTTGTATGGGCTTGGCTAAGGATCTGTTTTTTTAAGACTAGGTAAGCTTTAATGCGACCAGCTTTTTCAAATATAGTTAATCCTGCATCCTCTGACTATTTTCAGAGTGTCGACATATTGTCCGTGAGAAGATGCGCAAACCCGGGGCATGGAACTCTGAGCGATGTTGGTCCCTAATGAACGTACAATTAGAATATCGGACCTCAGAAAATATCAAAACTCTAAATTAGATCATAGATAATGAATGTGATCCGTTCTTACAATTAGAAATACAATCTAAATTTTAGGATCATTTAAATTGGAGTCCGATTGAATTCGGAGCTAAAAAACTAATAAAAATAAATTCTTTTCATAAGCACTAGAAAAGGCTTACATGCATTAAACCTTCGACCATGCTGTTAGTTTCGTCATTGGACTAATGGACTCCTACAAGACCATATGGGGCACAGCATGTGTTTTAGGATATAACTCAGGTTTTTAAGCACATTTTGCTATTGTTATTCATTTATTCGTTTGCTGGAAATTAGAACTGAATTTAGAAATAGTTTTGAAACGAATATTTGCGCTTGACAAACAAAAGTATTTATTTATAGACTAATTGATGTCTGTGCGTAAAGGTTTCCCTATCCAAGAGCGAATGTGAAAGTAGTTTCATTATCTCTCACGCAGTAGATGATCTGTTTAACAGTTTTCTGTTAAAAACTTTTAACTGTTAACTGTTTGCTTGTGAAATGCTCATTTTTTCCACTTAGACTTACTTTGCGTCCTGTAAATAGCGAATGCGCTCTTGGCGCGACGCAGCTGGGTCTTAAAGGGAATGGAAGATGAGACTCTAATTGGTTTATTCTCAAAACACACCTATAACTCATTAAGAAAAGAAACTCAACCCTCTTAGACCATGCGCCGCTGCGCAAGGCAAATTTCCCGTCCTTAAATTAGCAAAAAAGTGTCCTGACACGCATGGACCGTCAAAATAGAGCCCTTCATCTCTGCACTCAGAATGCATTCATAACACACTCATTTTCTGTTGCTAAAATTTTTAACTCGATTGCTTTCCACTAAATATGTTAAAATTTGTGTACAATACTAAAGCATTATTACCTGCATTACTTGCACACTACTTTACATGACTATAGTACATCAGCCTGTGCTGTCCATTACACTGTGTCTGTTACTACATTTATCTACATTTTACTATAACATTAAAAGACTGTTATATTATTATATTTATACTATTACTGCCAATGCAAATATACTGCACTATACTCATACTGTGAATTAGGTATACATGCAGTGTCTCTGATGTGAACTTACTATTATTATCTTTTGTATGTACTGCAAGAGCTATCATATAATGAAGCTTAGTCTAACTTGATTTGACATTTTTACTAAAGCTATTTCATGTTTAACTGATTGACTACTGTAAGTAATTACAGGTACAGACCTGCTTGTTTGATATATTGTCCAGGTTGACATCTAGAGTGTTTTAGTGCAAAACTACAGCCATCCTTTTTTTGGTGAATACAGTAGAATCCTGCTAGTGGCTCACAGACAGTATTTGAAGATCGTGTGCAGGTCTTCTTTACTCTCAGACCACTGGCTGTAAAAATATATATATTTGATTTATATAAATTACATAAATAAAAGTGACATACTAGATTTTTTTTACTTGCAGAGTTTGTTTTGGAGAACATTCTCACCTGCGCCACAAGGCGTGCAACGAAAGCACGTGTATAAACCATTGGGTTCGTCAGTGTATGTTAATGGAGGACATGGAACACAAGTAGTGACAGTATCAATAGTACAACGCCAGTAAACACGGTTTCCTGCAAACATAAACATTTTTGAAAAGACACGTCATAAAAGGGTAACACATGAAAACAACTCTTAGTCATACATCATAGGTTTGTAACAATTATAATTAAATAAGCATATGAGCTTACTTGATGCTTACTATGTGATTACTGTCTATTAAAGGTGTAATGGCACACAAAGGTCATGGTTTGATATGCACCTTAGTTTTGGCCATCACAGTTCGAACGATACAACAGGAATAGCAGCAAATCTCCAGTGCTTGCTTTTTCTGTTAATTTAGTATTTTAGTATTAATTCTGCTAATTGTGTATTAAATTCAGTAAGCTTCAAAACTGAAATATCTTTTAATGGAAATGCTAGCGCTGTGTCCATAGGTAACAGCAGGTGCAGCAGACAACTGTTCAACATTATGTGAGCACAGAGAAGGAACTCACTTACTCGCAGACTGACTCACATGCACACAGGATGAGACAGTATCGTATATTCTCATTGTTTGATGGACGTGTGTGACTTAAACACTTGTGTCTTTTTCAGCACTGAACAAGTAAAATTATTTCAGCTTTTACCCCAGCAGCGTTCATTTGTCAGCCTGTGAGTTCCAGAGCAGTGGACAAATCAGAAGAACTCAGAGGTGGGACAAGTGTTGAGATTCTCTTTATGGTAAAAGTTGGCATTACAACTGCAACATGGCAGAACCACTCCTGAGTCAAGTACATACTTTGTGAAAGACTCCTTCGTTGTTGCACTTCTGAGGTTTGTCTAGCTCTAGTGACTGCTTATCTTTACTGACTATATCCATGAACAGAACTAATACATATACCATTACACCCCTACTGTCTTTTTTTGGGGTTCTTATTAGGATGTCTTGGTTACAAAGCATAAATGATGACTTTTTAAAATACACTGTAAAGTTTATTGAGTTAATTACACTAAATTGTGTTTGCTTTTAAGTGGAATTCTTTTAACTTTGTTACTGATTCAGGCAGAAGCTAATATTTAAGAATATATACTGTACCTGGTGCACACATGGGGCAGCATTCTCCATTTATCTCATATTCTGCACGAGCACAAGCACTGAAACACAGCTCCAAATTCAAAGTGACCACAGCAGCAATAAATAAGAAAAATCCAAACTTAAACATATTCAAATAAACTAGACCAATAGTATCTGGATGCAGCCTTAATGATGCAAGCTAAGACTGCATCACTCAGCGATGCAATGTCAGACACAATGCACTCAATGGAGTGAGTGACGTCACTGTGACGGGTAGGGTTAGGGGTGGGGTTAGGTGAGCGGATTAAAAAGCATTAAATGCAGCTCAGATTGCACTGCACTGAGTCTGCAGCCAGACCCCTCTCAACTAGACAGCTGTTTTTTAGTCCATTAGAAAGACCAGCCAAACATTTAATCACCAGACTTCATAAATTCTATGACTTTTCAACACATAAGATGAGGAACTTGATTTTAGACATATGGGAAATTTTCATTACTTCTACCAATGGTAGAAAAAATAAAGAGTTTTCTTCTGCAAAAATGCGGTGGTTTCTTGCAGACAGCTGCATATTTCCTGACAGTTACAGTAGATTCAATTTCTCTTCGAAGGTTTCCTCTTGAAACAGTTGAGTATGCATCTTCTAACTGGAAGGATCTGAAATTACAAAATTACAATAAGTGAGTTTCATGCTAACATAAACATAAAAAAAAATCTAATCAATAATACATCATTGTCTTGTTCAAATTTTACCAAACCAATACATTTTACCAAAGGCATAAAAGTTCCAAGTCCAGAATGATTTGTAGAAAACAAAAATACACACATCAGAAATAAAAACATTCTGACTCTGAGGTGCTTTACTTTCATCAGTTTCACTGGTGTACACTAGTTGGCTTTAAGTATATATCCAGCAATTACATTTATAAGGTAACAAAATAAGCATGTAAGTAATTTGATTAATGTGTAAAATATTTTCTTTTTTCACAATGACTAAAATGACTCTGGAAAGTACCTTGAATCCCAGAAATTAAACATTAACCTCAGGAATTGTAAACATGAAATAAAATACACCAGCGTTACATTCAGCTTTGTGGTCATCTGTCTTAGGGGCTAAAATTCCAAGGCATTCCAACAGCTTCATTCATACTAGAATAAATGTAAAACAATATTTCCCCTAACACATGTAGTCACATACTAAAATCACATGTGAAATTAGTGACACAAAAATGCTTTACCTTGACTTAACCGTGCTTCACCATATTTTTACGTGATTCACTGTGACACATGAAACTCATGTGGTTTATTGATACGGGTTTTTTTTTTATAAGTATCACATTATATTAGATATGTTTTTTGTCCGCACATGTGGAAATTCCTTGTTGGCCTCACAAATGCACTTAACATCACAAAATTAGATGCATATAACATTGAAATAATATACCAATGAATGTCACAATATAACATTTTAACTACTACAGTATATGGTCATCATTGAATAGAGTAATGGCAGACGGTTTAAAAGGTTTCTTTAAAAATATTTGCTGTCACTATGGTCTGTATCATTTACAAAGAAAAGCATTTCAAATTCATAAAAAAGAGGGTCAGTAGAGTCATGAACAATTTACAAGGCTTTCCATCTAGTCTGGTTTGTATACAGATCACAAGCTGGTTCTATATATACTTTATCCCTGTTTTTATTTAAAAAAATCAAATTTTTGCCTCTGTAAACTACTCATTGGTTAAAAAAATTTAATTACAGACAACAGCTGACGGTAGAGTAAACTTAATTTTCACCTCAAAATGTTGATATCAGTGTCAGAATTTGACAGTTATCATCAAATATAGTAATCTATAAAAATACATGTGACTAAGACTTGTAACACATGTAAGGGTAGAGTTGCAATTATATATTTGATTTATTACAACTACAATCAACAAGAAGTACATTTCACTTTCACCATGGGTTAAAAGCAAATAGAAAACGTTTGGTCATGCGGTGACTAAAATTATTTACCCCATTTCATTTTTGCTATTCTCTACACACCTATGCTGCAATGGTTTGGAATATTCATTTTGATATTCACTGTGTACCACAATATTACATTTCAGACATTCGGAAATAAATATTAGCAATTCAGTGACTCAGAAAACAAAGCAACAATCATACAGGAATAATTAAGACAATAAAATTGTATAATTAAAATCTTAAATAGTTTTTGAAAGAACTAAGCTTCTTATGCTCACTAGTCAGCATGTTTAAAAACACGCAAAGTGCCATACAAAAGGTTATACAAAAATACATCCAAAGGGATTATAAAAGGATGGAATAAAATCCACAATAAATCATGAGGTACCCCCAATCTAGTGATTTTGGTACAACAGGTTTTATTGTTTGTTTGTTTGTTTTTGTTTTAAGGATTATATTGCTCATTATATACACAACATGATCATGTTGGCTGGAAAACTATTATTTTGTCAATATGCTTGTTAATTTGCTTTAAGTAGACTGCTACAGGCACATGTTTAATTTACTCTTGGCTCTTTATAACTTATAACCTGCCAAATGACCTTCATTTGTTTTATTAATTGAAGATCTTGAAATTAAAGTCATTATGGCTCATTACAGATACATAGCATTAATAGTCAGACAATGAGAAAAAAGTTAATTTGTATTAAAACATTGTTTTATCACTGCCCTCTGAATCATCATCAAATTAAAAGGGGAGGTACCTAGAGATTCCCACTCCTAGTCAAAAATAATTAAGTAGGCTGCAATGATTAATAAGAACTAGGCAGAATGGACAAACACAAAATAATAAAAATATCCAAAAGCATATCCCAAACACAGAAATCAATGAAGTCAGGAAAAAGTAACAACAAAAGTCACAACAAACAAGGATGCCTCAATTCTCTGATTTAATGCATCACAGTTCACACTTAGATATGCTTGACACTATTAGCAGGTTTGGCATGGTAGAGAACTCTGAGCTTGGAGTTAATTGAGCCCAGGGCTCCTGCCTGATCAATAGGCATAAAAGGGTGTCCGAGATCAGGTAGGTATGGAGAGCTCCCCCTGGTAAAGGGAGTAAAAGGAGGAGATAGGATGGAGGGAGGTGGGGGGTGGTCTCTTCATTGTATAAGCTTGAATCAATCTGATTGGATTACTGCTGATTATGGATGAGAGGCCAGCCACAATCAACCCTCTAATGTGCTACTCTCAAAATTAGTTTGTAAAACTTCACTTAATGAATCGTAAAGGTCTTATTATGTTGCATTTCTGTTGCAGAAAGTGTTAAAGATATTGTTCAGCATTTATAAGAGACATGAAAGTTACCAAGAATAAACATAACTTTTTGGGTTCGGTTCATATTCATAGAGCTAATATTCCATTCCAGAGATGTAGACTTAGTTTCTTTTTATTTATTTTCACTGTACCATATTTTTGTAAATCTAATCAGAGTATACTTATTTTTCAATACCTAAGCCTATAATCTGTAGAAATAAATTCACAAAATAAAAATGCAGAACAATTTTGTAATACAGTTGATCAAGCAGAATTTGACAACAATTGTTTTCTTTATTTAACATTTATCACCAAACAGATGAAGACTACTTTTTATTTTGATTGTAATTTATTTGCAGTGTTAAAATAATACTTATGTTTAAGTCTGGGGGTAAGGTAAAACAGGAATAAGCAACAAATCTCCAGTACTTTCTTTTTCTGTTTTATTTGAACAGGCAAATTGTTTTGTCACAATCAGCTACAGAACTTAAGAGCTGCAAGTGTTGTACAATTTACATCTTGTGATGTTGCTAAAGTACAAACTAAACACAATAATAAAAAATAAAACTTTAGAATTAGGGAACGGTGTATTAAACTATCAAAGATTAAGCTCAGTCCTCTCCTAAAACAACAGAAAAACAATATTTGTGTATTATATTCCAGGTTTCAGTAAGTTTTTAAACAGAAATCTCTTTTGATTAAAATGAAGCACTGTGTACATCCATAACCAGGTGCAGCTGACAACAACTGTTCAATGTCATGTGTGTAGAGAGGGGAGTCACACATGCACACAAGATGAGTATCATATTTAGATTGCTTGACAGATGTGCGTGACCATTATACACTCGTGTCATGCAGCATTATGCTTTTTAGATGCCTTCTAAAATGATAAAACAATTTCAACTTTGACCCACAGCAGCACTCATTTGTCATTGTGTCAGTTCTAAAGAATTGAAAGTACCAGATAAACTCTGAGGCAGAACAAGTGTTGAGTGAGATAATAAAACAGAAACAAGCTTGTGAACTGTCAATACTTCACAATCGCCATTTGCTAGCCATGCAAAAATGAGTGACCACACATGAAGTAACCGTAGATAGAACAGACAGATTGGCCCACAGTCACTATTTAAATGAGAGCTCCATCTGTTGTCTTGGCACATACTGTGATACAATATTATATTATTACAGTTTGAATAATTATTTTCCATAATAATAAAATTGTGAGTAGCACAATCGCCTCACAGCAAGAAGGTCCCTGGTTCGAGCTGGGTCAGTTGGCGTTTCTGTGTGGAGTTTGCATGTTCTCCCCATGTTTGCGTGGGTTTCCTCTGGGTGCTACAGTTCCCCCACAAGTCCAAACTCCAAAGACATGCGCTATAGGTGAATAAGGTAAAACTAAATTGTCAGTAGTGTATGAGTGTGTATGAATATTTCCCTATGATGGGTTTCAGCTACAAGGGCATCCACTGTGTAAAACATATGCTGCATAAGTTGGCAGTTAATTCCACTGTGGCGCCCCCAAATTAATAAAGAAATTATGCCAAAAAGAAAATGAATGAATGAATAACTGTGGTGGCTCAGTGGTTAGTGCTGTAGCCTCACAGCAAGAAGAACGCTGGGCAGTTGCCATTTCTGCATGTTCTCCCTGTGTTTGCGAGAGTTTCCTCTAAGTGCTCTGGTTTTCCCCACAGTCCAAAGACATGCAGTATAGGTGAATTCATTTTTTTTATTTTCTGCTTAATCCCTTTATTAATCTGGGGTCGCCACAGCGGAATGAACTGCCAACCTATCCAGCACACGTGTTACGCAGCAGATGTCCTAATTCACACTTGTACACTACGGACAATTTTAGCTTACCCCATTCACTTATACATGTCTTTGGACTGTGGGGGACACCGGAGCACTCAGAGAAAACTCACGCGAGAACA